GAAGAGAACGGCAAGAGTGTCAAAGCAGTGGAAGCCAACCAAAAACTTACCTACTTTTATATATATAGAGGACGAATTTTCTGAATTGGTCTCCAAACACCACTGACAGTGAATCTGATGCAGCATAAGAATAGGATTTCAATGAAAATCTAGAATAAAACACATGGGAATATCAATATAACAAGGTAATGTTTGCCGCATATGAATATCTGCCAGTTTTTACAGTAATGACAATACATGAGACATGAGGGACATTGATCTCATCATGTTCTGTTGATCATGCCAGAAAGTTATAGAAGCATTTGTTAGCACGAGAAGTAGCCAAAATTAGATACCAAGTCCACCGAATCAAAGTTTTGTTCAGTATATCAAATGGAAGAACTGAGAGATGAAGATAAAGAGATCAGACCATGCTATAGAGATGATGGAGTTTGCATGCAAGGCCATGGACTAGCCTAAAAGATTTCTAAGGCAAATGAACAATTTACAAGTTACAACTAAACAACCTGAAAATTAAAATTTTGAATCCAAAAGAAAGATGTCAAAATTACTTACCTCAAAACAGGACCCAAAAGGAACATCATGTGCCTGTTGTACAGTTTCAAAAACCTAAAACAAGGGACAAAGTTAACTAAGTCAAATAGAGAGAGTTCCATTCCAGTACAGGCAAAGAAGTTTATGACAATGGAGAGGTAGAAGTAACTAAGAATGATAGTAAACATACAAGCTTTTTCTTATCAGGAGATGAAACATGACGCTGATACTCAGTCATGGCTGTATCTGGTGGGCACATGGGACTGTTACAAACAGATCTGAATGTTATCTCTCGTACTTGACCATCATATTCATCTGCAGCATGCCATTCTTCTATCTGAAAGTACAATAAAATGGTCCCTTTGTCTTTAGAAACTTATGAGGAATAGGAACAACAAAACTTTCAGTATTACAACCATTTTTTGATCTCTTTCCTCACTCAACCAAATGATACATAACAGCAAATGCAAGTGACCAAGAAGAAATAGTAAAACTTATCCAGCGCATACATTAAGATTACTATCCCCCCGAGCTGAACGATAATCATATAAGAAAGGAGAACCATTGCTTAACAGTATGTTAAGGAATTGCTCTGCTGTGCATGGAAATACGTCCTGCAAAAAACTTCAATCATTTACAAATGGACAACCAAAAGAATAAATCTGTGAAGAGGAAAAGAATGATGCATACATTGTGAATATCAACAAGAACCTCTTCTTTGACAAAGGCTTGAAGCTTTTCAGTTTTGGATGAACTATCTATAGGCGTCTTGGGTGACTTAACAGTCTTAATTGAGCTACTATGTGCACGCAATTCTGACTCAGCTCTCTCCTGGATAGTGGCAAAACAATAAAATAAGAATTATTTTACAGCATTAGGCACTAAAAAGAGCTTGCTCATAGGTCTTGTTATTTCTCACATGAGAAGAAAATCATGATCACACATCTCATTTCTCTTTGTTGATAATAAAAAAGAAAGCTCCAGGAGAAGTAAATGAAAACAAAAGATATAGAAAAATGATTCACAAAGCACAAGTACTGGACCTTTTTCTCTGCTTCTATCCTAGCATGGTAGTTCTTCACTGCAAGCTGTAATGCTCTTAATACATGGTTCCTGTTCCAAAATGATGCAAATTTATACCTGACTCTACCTGAAAAACATCAAACAAAGATAGATGCTAAATAAACACACCAAGTTTCAATTCATACTGAAAAGAAGATCCTATGCCTTGATGTCAAATATTTCCTTTAAAAAGTGTTGTAATAAAAAGAAATATCACCAATATCTAGAAAAATAATTGAGTTATTCCTTCTTATTTCAAATCACAATAAAAGAACATTGATCCCATTAATGATGAAAAAACCTATATGAATAATAACTAAATGAGTTATCTTCCTACAAGTAGTGCAAAAGATAATATTCCCTCACATCAAATCTTCCCAAACATAAAAATTGAATTGCCTTGATTCATGCAGCCATCCATAATCAGTTTACTCTGAGAGTTCAATTGGGCAGAGTTAAGTAAAAAATATTTTAGCTCATTTCTGTGAACATAATAATATCCAGCTTGTCGAATTCAGATATGTTAAAAAAAAAAAAAGGAAATGCTTGAAATTAAGGCCCTTGCATTTAAGAATAAAGAGGAAAGCATGAGGAATATAAACCTCCCATAACTCATAAAGCATTCAGACCAATGAATTTAATCACTAACCATCAGGACTTCCTAAAGGAGGTACACCATGGCCACCAGCACCCATCCGGAGAATGATTGTTATAGCAGGATTTACAAATGCATGCTGACTCCTACGTATCTGCATAAACCCAAAAGAAGAAGAAGAAGAAAGAAAAGAAATATTGAATGTGATCATTTTCACATCATTCAAATAAGTTGTTCAAGAAAGGAGAATGATTCAAAATAAATACTATGCAAACCTCATCAATATCACCAAATGGTATTACCACCTGTCAGGGGAAAACAAAAAAATTGTTATTATAGCCCTAATAATGACAAAGTCATGTAAGTTAGGAAAATGGACATAATTTGAAGGGTAAGGCATTATAAATATTATGAATCTCAAAGTCTCTGCTATTACAACTAATAAAAAAAAAATTATAGAACCATGATAGACAAGTACAAACTTGAGCTTCTTCTTTATGTGATTTAACAACTCCAACAACACTTTTCTAAGATGCCAAACTAGCACTTATATGGCCAGTTGATGATCTGACATATATCTTAATCTAATTGCATGATAATTAGAGAAGCCAGGTGTGTATCTCTCAAATCATGAATTGAATATGCTAGGCTTGACCCAATCTCCATTCAAACTATTGATTTCAGCACATCTATTCAAGAAATAATCAAATTCATAAGGCAAAATCTAGGTTAATGGTGGAACAACCTTCATTTGCTTAGAGAACACATTAGAATGGAAGCATATGTGCCATGCAGAGACATACATACGGCCATGATATAAGAATGACCTCTCAAGTGCACAAGAATAATTGTGGTCTGCAACCTGAAAGATAAACTTTTTGTTACGCCTGCAGCTGAAAACGATGATAATTTTGAAATGAATTGATACAACCATGTTCAGGGATGCAAAATATACTGTAAACGTGGTTGCAACTGATTACACAAGAAACGTGCTTGACACAGAATACCTCATCAAGAGGGAGATCAAATATTGTCTGCAAAGGCCCTGGCTTTTGATGAACCACCATAGGTCCTTCTTTATCAACTGAAATCCTCCTTCTAGCATTAGCCCCAGTGTATCCATTCATAACCCTACCAGTAAAAACTTTTCAGATTACAGTAATAAGAACAGAAACATACTTCCAGCATTTGTGGCAAACACCCCTTCTTGGGAGTCACACTCCAAAATATATTAAGCAGGTAAATTAGCTCATGGCATTCTCCTTGGAAAAAATTTTGAAGCTAATTTAAGCCCACTAAGTGCAGAAACACAAGGAAGGAAAGCACCATCTAACTCTAATTTCAAGTGATCAGGCAGACTATGTAATGACAAAAGCTTCATCCAAGTACAATAATTTATGTTTCAGATGAAATCTAAGAAACCTATTATGCAAGTTTATTAAAAAAATACAGGACTTACTCTTTAAAGTGGATGTAAAAAACAGTCACTAAAAAGAGCTCAATCATTGAAACTTTGGCTGCTTGGGACTCAACTACCTGGGCACAGAGGTACTCAGGTCGTAATGGTGAAAAGGAAACAAAAAAGGGTGGACTCTCCAATTAAAGAGAGAGATTCTCTCTTTTTCATGAAGAAACAGAAAGACAAAGATCAATGTACATCAAAAATAGATTTCTCAATCCCCTGGATGAGACATTAGAATTTTCCTGTTGAACTCTGTTTTGGATACTCCAATTCATCCAGTGCACATCCCATAACTTACTAGCTAGCTGTCAAGTGCTTTCAAATGGACAAAGAGTGCAGAATATTATAGGATGAAGCTGCAAACGAATTTTTCCCTAATCTTAAAAGTTTCATAAATTAGTCACTACAACCACATTTGACAGCTATTATATAGCCAAAATAATTTCTAAAATTCTTCAGGGTCATACTTCCATGCATCCACAGAATGAAATAGTGTACATAGTGTATTGAGAGATAAATTAGTGCATAGATCTGAATAATACAAACAAGGGAAAAAGAATAAACAAATAAAGAAGAAAAAATAAGATAATCCTACCTGGCAGAATTAACTGGGAGTTTAATTGTTTTAATGTGTAAACAAACCTGAAAAGCAGTAAATATTTTTTTGTTGGCTCTTATAAGTAATAAGCAATAATGTAAATAATCTACAATAAAAAGGCAAATAACACCAACTAGGAAAGGATACTGAATGTAGAAAAGGTTACCTGTCCAGATGAACTATCTAATGTGTGCCACACTGTACCAGTATCACTTTCCCTTTCAACAGGGACAGTTACTGAACCAAGAACAGCACTCTTCCAAATTATATCCCAATCATATATTGTCACATTAATCTGCAAGGCCAGATAAAAGATATTAGTTAATACAATAACAGCATAATCATAAAAGATATGCAATCTGCAGACTTTCCCTTATTTATATATTTAATATATGCAACCTCCACTGAGTTTCTCACTTGTCACAGTTTTACAATTATAGAAGCCACTACTCAAAGCGCAATTAACAAGTTGCCTTAGATCACAATTTCAATATTCCAATAATCTAAAGCACAAACAAAGGGATGGATGCATCATTAAGATTTCAGCCCAACATAGCTTGAAAAAGTAAACCTGGGCAGGAAGCTCATCAACAGAAAAATTGAACTCCTCTCCCCACATAGGATTTCTAGAACCAGGAATCATTGAACTGCAGCAACAAAACAAGAAAATCTCTTAAGTAGTGTGTCATGGTAGAGACATAGATTCAAGATGCGCCATATTTACATAGATGAAATCTTAAAGAACTTCAACTCAACATGTCAAAATATCTGTTAAGAGGCCATGTTAAAAACAAAAGCACATCAACGAACCTAAATCTTTTTTCAGAACCACAGGTAATCACAGCATAAGGATCAGATGTGCCATTCAAGTTTGCACCAATAAGATTCCTAGCTGCAAGCAAACCCACCTGAAATACAAAATGAGCAACATATCATATTATATATGAAGTCAGGATGGAAAATCTGATAAAATTAAATACTAACTCCATAGTCTTGAAGAAAGAGGATCAACTCATTGGAAATATTACCTTGATTATATATGCAGAATTGGTTTTTGAATCTCCGTTGGAATGGTTCATCTACAAAATAAGTGCACGACTGCATGTCAAAGAAGTGGAAGATTACTTCATGAAAAAATAGAAAGAAAAGTTGTCTATTACAGCAACACTAGATTCCCAATTTATATATAGCATCAAGTTAAACAGCAAAAACCCAAAACAAAATCACTCCCAGTATGAAGCATCAAATCAAAAGACAGAAAATTGAACGTGAAATTCACATAAAAATAGTGTTTTTAGCAGCATTACTAACTGAGAAGGGTGAATTCATTGATGAATCAAACCAATACAATAATTTTGACCTTGTCGTTATCGTAAAGAAATCCATTGCCGGCAGAGTCAGAATTCTCTCCAAACTGCGATCGATCACCGCCACAACCCCTATCTCCGCCTCCATACGTGAAAAACCAATACGACAAGATCACGAAAACCGAAGCGGCAACCGTCACTTTGACCTCCCACCACGACGGTACCAGACACTCCACCGCCGTCTCAATCCATTTCTCCATGCCGCCACGATGATAAACGCCAATCCTCTTCACTCCCCCCCGCAATTTCCAAAATCAACACCTCAAATTCGACCTTAAGAGGTTTAATCTAGGGTTTTCCGATTTGTACAGAGGAAAATAAAAAAAAAGAAAAGTCAAGCAAATTTTCGAGAGTTCTCAGGGGTCAATGAGGAAGACCGTTGGAACTTGGAAGCCGGAGGAGGAGTTATGGTTTTTTTATGACAAATATGCCCTCCATTTTAGAGGGAAACGCGAAGATATGTTCCTTATGCTTGGGGTATTTTCGTAATTATGTTCCAAAAATTATTACCAGTTCAGAAGCGTGTTCAGTGTGGAGTGGTCACGTGGACACTTTGGGAGGGGTAACCGTGACGGTGACGGTGACGGTGACGGTGACGATCAAAATAAAATCTGAATTTTTTTAATTGTATAAAAATATGAAAATTGGCTTCAACCTTTTTACTAATTTAGTAATGTGATATGAATTGTTTCGATTGGCTGTTAATTAAATAAATGTTAATTTTTATTTTTTAATATTAATTAATATAAAAAGTTCATTAATTGTTGGATAGATTAAAAAAAATTATTTTAAGGGTTTTTTAAGTTTCATACTCTTAAGCTTGATTAAATGTATAATAAATATATATTTTATTATAAATTTATATTAAAAAATAAAAATTGACCATTAATTTCACAAATGTCTAATTAAATTTATTTACTTGATTTTAATATTTATTTTAATGTTAATTTTTGTATTTTATATTTATGATAAAAATGTATTATTAAGGTATACCTTAATTATGGTACAAGTTAAAAAGACAATGAATTTTAAAGCATAAATTAAAGTTGTAATTAATGTATTTTTTTATATTAATTAGTACAACATTGAGAATGGATTTCAGTTAAAATGCATAAATTGTATATTTTATTAATTATTAAGCAAAAATGCAAAAATTTAACTTTAATTTTGAGTGATGATAGAGAAAAAGAAAATTTAAACAATCATATTACATAAATTATGTTACGAAATAAATTAACATGTATAATATTATAAATTTAATAAAATAAAAATAATTAATTATTAAATAATA